AAAAAAAAAAAGGTCAACAGGTGTAGCAGTCCAACCGACTCGTGGACTGTCCGGACGGTAGCACTGTCATTTAGACGCCTATGCACTGATCGAAAATAAACATACATGCATACACTGTAATTTACTATGTGGAGAACACTCATTTTATCTGTAAAGTTGATTGCAACGAATTGTGCAACAAATGAACTTGCCAAGACAGACTATAAAAAATTAATTTTCTATGTAATATTCTTAATTGCAAAGAAGCCAAATCTGGCAATGTTGCTCAGAACTGACTAAAGCGCCACTTGTAATCGTCCAATGCGCCAAGTTTGGCGCATGTGCCACGGTTTGGCCACCCCTGTATTAACCTCATTCTGATTTGGATGACCATTGTTCTGACAGCCTCCCACTGCTTCAAAAGACTTTTAATAGAAGATGTCAGCATTGATTTTCTTTATCTTCCTCTTTTTCAAAAGAAAACATATCTTGCTGAGTTTCTTGTTGTTCTTCATTTAAGAGTTCTTGGAGTTCTTCTGTTGTCACATCAGTTTCAGGTTCCATTATGAGCTCTTCAATGCTCTTTATTTCTCAGATATGATTATGTGATTTTCATTACTCCTTTAGCTGCTTGAGACTTCTTGATATATCTTTCATAGCTAAGATTGTGCCTACTGTAGATCTGTTCAAGCCATACTGCCTAGCAACATCAGACATCTTGTGCCCTCTCTACCTTGGCTATTATCTCTTGCTTAGTTTCTATGGTGAGCACAGTTCTTGACACTCCACTCTTTTTAGGCTCCATAATATTATCAGTTTCGGTTTTAAATAAAAAGTTCAGAAAAGCACTTACAAAAATTCAGAGAACAGAAATCAACTAGCACATAAAAAATTATTTAAATGCAAAGCCCGGATGAAATTCAAAATTTGGTATTAAAATGTTAACAAATATCCGATGGGACAGTTAAATTCTTGCCTTTTGTAAATAAAAACTGACACAAAACTTAACCGCCCGACAGTCTCATGAATATTATAAAAAATTTTTCAGAAAGGTAAACAAAAAACTGGAATTACAAGGAAGAGTTTCAAAATTCAGAGGAATACTATCCTATTGGTTTAGGGTTGAGCATCAATGTCGATATTTTCAGAGCTCTGAAAGGTTTCGAATTGTCACCTGGAGACAAGGGAAGACCAATCGGTATTCACTATTTTATATTGCTTCTTTTTTCTGTTTGTTCTGTAAAGTGTTCGTTATCCGATTTATTTGCATTCCAAACAATTCATTAACCAATCACTCACTGTATATCAAAGATGTAACTAGAAATTTCTGAGTGTGGGTCACAGATAGCTTGCTTACACACAGTACAGTTAAGTAGATTATGTAAAAAAAAAAAACATTAGTTCCAAGATCAACATATTATTGTGCAAGAAGCTGCTATGTCAGTGAGGCTTGTGTGTTTTTTTGCAAATCAGTAATGTACTGTACATGACATTGCTGTATAAAAACAAATAAATAAATGGTAGAACAAGAACAGGTATTAAATTTTATTCTTTATTTCATGGGTGTTGTATAGCCTAGTATTTGAGTCTGATGTGCCTGTTTTCTGTTTCATCCAGTAATCAACTGCATTGTGAATTTTTCATGTTTACTTTTAAACTTGTATGAGGAAAGCAGTGGAGGTTGACAGAGTGAGGGATGGAAGAGTGTTTGTATGGGGAATGCCATCCCTTTCCACCCCAAGTGGCTGCATCCCTGATACATACATACATACATACATACATACATACATACATACATACATACATACATACATACATACATACAAAATGTAGAAATACAGTAATACCCTGACTTACGCGAACCCGGAGTTACGCGATTTTCAAATCTCGTTGATTCGTCTTTTGTTTGAGCGCCACGCAACTCTTGGTTACTCACTCCCCCACACTATTGTTCAGCTTACATGTTCGGATGTGTCACGCGAAATCGACACATAGCTACAATTTATTTTGTGTTATTTATTTCTGTTTGTCATATCTACGGAGACTTGAGAGACTCTACTATGTCATCCAAACGAAGTAGAACTAATTTTTCTGCATCAAACAAGAAAAGAAAAACTTTATCTTTGGAATGTAATGTTAACATTGGGTATGTTCGTAAAGTCAAACGNATTTAATAAAATTTAACTTCTGTAATAATTTTTAAAATTTTATGTTTATTAGGCTTTTGTTTATATTATAATTATGATTACAAAACTGTTCTGTCTTTTAGCATTTGTTGTGCTGCCTGTTTGTATCAAATATCAACATTTATTCATCCTTTATTCTACAAGTATTTTATTATCTGTAGTGATATTGAAGTGTGATAATAAATTAAAACATTAAAATAACTTAAAATGAAATTTACTGTCTTACAGAGCATTTATATGTAACACTGGACAATATGAGTTTTACTTATACTTTTATTAGGTGTACTGTGTATGTGTGTATGTATGTATATATATATATATTTTAAGCTTATTGTTAAAATAATTTCCAAATTTGGCTATCACATCACATTCTTGGGAAATTCTCAATAATAATATATTTGTACATAAATAAGTTCTAAAAGGAATGCAAAATGTTGGCTGAATATTGTTGGACATTGATTTCATAAATCCAAAAGTGCTAAACATAAACAAAAATTGGCAAGAAAAACTATTTAAATCTTAATATACATTTGTATCTTTTTTATTAATAATACACAAGTTGGTTTTTTATTTTCTTATCCTGATGTGATAGAAATTATTTTCTTAGTGTAATCATGAGAAATAAGATAAAATGAAATTATGTACTGTACAAAAGATCAAGAAAAGTTAAGAAAGTTCAAATTTGTTGTTCACTATAATTAATGCTTACTTGTAATAGAAATGTCATTTGGTATGTGATTATTCTAGTTTGAATCTACAAATCTTGTAGCCCTAATGAAAAATTTGATACAACATTTTTATTAATATAGGAGATGAAATATTAATTTGTCATTATTATAATAATTAGTTGCTATTCCATAAAATAGTTTGCTATAAAATGTTTTTTCTTTTATTTGGTTATTATTTTTGTGAAATTACTTTACAGTCTGAAATATTCTTGCAATATATATTTATTTAAATAAGTTAGTACATTCTTTAAGGAAATATATCTGTTTAAAATAAATTTGGCACTTAGTCAAAAAATACTTTACCCTGTATAAAAAAAATTAATTACATTTAATAGTTCTAGAACACAATAGATATATTATTTTTGCAATCTATATGTTTATACAATTTTTCTTATTATAGTTTAATCAAATTACAAAAGTTGCAAATTGTCATCTAGTGACCAAAGAATTTAACACACAATAATATTANACTAATTCTTCTGCATCAAACAAGAAAAGAAAAACTTTATCTTTGGAATGTAATGTTAACATTGGGTATGTTCGTAAAGTCAAACGAGTTAAGCGAGAATGAAGTCTTCGTTATTCCTATTTCGTTAGACTTTTCGAACAATTCGTTACTAACGCGTTTAACTCGTTTGACTTGAACGTACTCGTTGAACGTACCCATTATTAAAAACTTCGATACAAAAATGAAAATTTGTGAATTAGCAAAGAAGTTTGATCTACTGGAATTGTCGGTCAGAACAATTATAAAAGGCAACGAAAAAATTCTCGAAGCTGTGAAAAATGCTCAATCTTTAAATTCAAGCATCATTCGTAAACATCACAGTATTATCGCTGAGATGGAAACAATGTTAAAATTATGTCGTAATAATCAATGTGAAAAATTGTAAAATAATATAGGCCTAATTTGTTATACATATGTATTATGTAAGATTTTATTAAACATTTTTTTCTAAATTATTGTTTTCTTTAGTCTCCGGCCCCAATTAAAAATTATTTGTATGTATTTATATGTGAAATTATACCCCAACTTACGCAAATTCGACTTACGCGGTTACCGCTCGGTCCCACCTATCGCGTAAGTTTGGGGTATTACTGTATAAATTTTAATATGTCAGTTGATATATAAAATATATTCTATAAACTGAATCTACACTAATCCAGACTCCACTTAATCCAAATTAATTTTGTTCATTTTCCATTTTATCTTCCAACCAAAATTAAAAAGAAATTAAGAAATTGCAGATTATTACCATATTAAAAAGTTCTCTAGAATAGAAAATATGCTACACATATTAAGATAAATGTGTTTCCCAAATACAATATAAAAAAATTAAAAAAAAATGCAAATCCTTTGTTGAATTTGTTTTATATATGTAATTTGAAGTTTTCACTAATATGAACCACTCCATATAGCAATTAGTTCAGATTAGCCAGAGTTTTTTTGCTGTATATAAAATTTATATATTGAAAATAATTTGATTAGCACATTTTCCAGTTTGTCTTTAATTACAGACATTTACAGATTTAAAATATAGAAAGTATTTTGTTAATTTTGAATTTTCTGGTGTTAAAGCAATTATTCATGTTATAAGAATAAAATTTTTTATTTGGATGAATTTTTGTAAAATTTTTTTATTATACAAATACAAATGATGATGACTTCAAAATTTTTACAATAAAATTTCAAAAAAATTTATTATAGTATAAAGTATGATGATTACACTAAGTTTTACAAATATTTTTTTTCAGTTAATAGTGAAGCCAATGCTCAACGAATTGCAATAGTTGAAAGTTGTTTTGGAAGTTCTGGACAAGTAAGATATTTATTTTAATTTTTACATTGAAATTTTTTATAATTCATATATTTTTATTAATATAATATAAATGGATAATAATATAAATTATATTTATAATATGCAAGTTCTTTTTTATTTAGAATTAGTGGTGTTTCAATTATTTATTTATGTGGTAATTACAATAAATGATTCATTTATTGTAATCATTTTGGAACTTGCCTATATTGATAACAGTAATTGAATGATAAAATTATGCAGAGTAAGTAAATAAGAGTACAGTTAGTGGAAGTTTTGGTTTTATTGATTCTGACATTAAAAGGACATGTTTAAATAATTAAAAAATGTATAACTTGAAGAAGATCTGCAAATAGTGAAAAAATGCTTTTCCTACAGTTGTTTGTTTTAAAATATTCAAATTATTTTAATAATTACAAAATAATGTTTTTGGGTCAAATGCATTTTCTAATAATTCAGTGGATTGTGTACTTCCAAAAAAAATTGTGAAAAAAATTAGAAGCAGCAAGATAAATTCACAATGTTGATCTAAAAAGATCAACATTTAATCTGGTTGCCTTTCTCACTTATCAGTTCGATACAGGACTTTATATCATTGGGTCTGTGCCATAAAGTTATATGCTGCATTTTTTGTAACTGACAAGTCAGTGAAGTTACAGAAACAACAAAAATTTTCAATGGAAACTTCTTATGAAGGGAAGTTGCCATTGAAAAATTCAGGTCAGTAAAATGTAAGTTGAGTTTTTTATACAGTCTAAAATTTTCTGATATATCTGTAAAGTGTTTTAAAATTGGACATATGACCATCTGGCACACATCTGACAACATATGACAGACATGGAAAAGTTTAAATAATGATTTCTTATAAAGTGTTGCTCATTGGCACAAGTTACTGTGCATTATTGCAATGGGTGTATAACAACATAAAATTTCAAGAAAATTCAGGATGCCAAAGCTTGAATGTCTTCATCCAAGCTTTGTCATCCTGTATTTTAGATGTCTCTATTCAAGCTTTGATTTACATTTTAACTAATTCAATTACTTCTTTTAGCTGAGCTATATACCATATTTACTTGCATATAAGATGAGGTTGTTATTCATTTTTTATTGCTTTAAAAACCTAGGTCATCCTATACGTGTGAGCAAAGGATTCTTTGCATTTTTGCAATAATTTTTATTAACTGTGTGTTTGCATTTTTTACCAGATACTCACTCTCTGGTGTTTAAAAACAAAAGTATTTTATCTGGGTCGTTTCAATTGTTCTTGTGTATTGTCATGAGTAAAGATGAATAGCAATAGGAAAAGCAAAGCTTTTGAAATGAATTCCAATTTGAAATTCCAAAATCACACAGGAGCCCGATATAAATTTTAATCCATTCCCACGTAAAAAGAGATTATTATTTGGAAATCAGAATTTGAATAAAACTCATAAGTGTAATCAACAGAGAGTGAATTTGACTGTTAAGAATTGGCAAAATAGGTTCCCGATTGTTCAACTTTACATGAACGAATTATGTTGTTGATTTTACAAGATTTTTTTTAAAGATTAAAACACCATTAATTTTTGTGGGACAATGTGTGCATTTATGTGCATTTGATATTTTATACATAAATATCAACAACTCATAGCCCGAGTAGTAAATACATCACCAAACGATCGCCTAAATATCGGGCTATAATACGGCTAATTAAATGATTGGAATAAAGTAATTTGACACTAGAGGTAGACGTTAGGCGCCATCTCTTAAGTAAATTAATAATTAAAAAAATAAATCNTATATATATAGTTTACAAATGATATTTAAATTTATTTTTATTTTTAATGTATTCTATATTTTATAGCAAAATTTTTTGAAAAGAACATCTACTTTTTGATAATTTCTTTGAATCATCCTTCTAATTGACAATAGATATCATTAATTAAATAAATTAGCTCATTTCTGTCTATTGAAAGTCTTTCAGTTCTCATTTATTAACTTCATATTGTTACATTCACTAGCTATTAACAACAAATTCCTTTCAGTTTATACATTTTCTTTGAAATGTTTGTAATGATTTATTTAGTTTATATTATCATGGAAGATTTTTAAATAGACTTGTTTTATCTGATACTAGAATAAAACAAAGAATTATTATTTCTGTCTTAATAAACATTCTAAATTATTAGTATATAATAGAATTAGTTATACAGACATTATTAGTAAATTAGCATTGTGATGTTATGAAATTATTATTATAGAAAATATTGATGGATATGATTGTTACAGTACTGTTCTTTATTTGAGATAATAAATTACAATATTTTTATTTTGCTGTATTGTTTATCAAATTATAATTCTTATATGTTTGAAAGTATGTTGTTTAAAATCTTACTAATTTCCTTATATTCTTCTATTAACTTAATTATATAAGTTTTAAAATTATTTTGANCTAAGATTTTATTAAACATTTTTTTCTAAATTATTGTTTTCTTTAGTCTCCGGCCCCAATTAAAAATTATTTGTATGTATTTATATGTGAAATTATACCCCAACTTACGCAAATTCGACTTACGCGGTTACCGCTCGGTCCCACCTATCGCGTAAGTTTGGGGTATTACTGTATAAATTTTAATATGTCAGTTGATATATAAAATATATTCTATAAACTGAATCTACACTAATCCAGACTCCACTTAATCCAAATTAATTTTGTTCATTTTCCATTTTATCTTCCAACCAAAATTAAAAAGAAATTAAGAAATTGCAGATTATTACCATATTAAAAAGTTCTCTAGAATAGAAAATATGCTACACATATTAAGATAAATGTGTTTCCCAAATACAATATAAAAAAATTAAAAAAAAATGCAAATCCTTTGTTGAATTTGTTTTATATATGTAATTTGAAGTTTTCACTAATATGAACCACTCCATATAGCAATTAGTTCAGATTAGCCAGAGTTTTTTTGCTGTATATAAAATTTATATATTGAAAATAATTTGATTAGCACATTTTCCAGTTTGTCTTTAATTACAGACATTTACAGATTTAAAATATAGAAAGTATTTTGTTAATTTTGAATTTTCTGGTGTTAAAGCAATTATTCATGTTATAAGAATAAAATTTTTTATTAATTTTGAATTTTCTGGTGTTAAAGCAATTATTCATGTTGTAAGAATAAAATTTTTTATTATTTTCATATATAGGGAAAACACAAGAACCAGGTACTTCTTATATAGTAGTATTGAAAAAAGAAATCCTGCTCATTTGCTCTCTCTCATATGTATTACTGTACATGTGATTTATACTATATTGTAAGCATGTATGTGTATAAAAGTGTGTGTATGTCTNAGGGGATTAGGGTTTTGTTCCTCAAAGTCAATAAATTTATTTTTGCCGACCAAAGGTCCGATACTTTTTGAACAGACCTTGTATATACTGTATATATATATTGCAATGTATATATATATATATATATATACATATATATATATACTGTATATATATTACATTGCAAGTATATGTAAATATAAACCCTGTATTTATGTATGTATGCATTCAAATAATTTTATTTCTTGTAATAATAAGTAAAAAATAAAATTATAGTTAAATACGAGGGAAGTCCTATATTAAAGGTACAGGCCAAAATTACACTAACATTTATAAATAAAGAAAATATTTAATACATTCCACAAAAACTGCATACTTCTGATTATTTATCAACATAATTGCCATAAATGTTGAGACATTATCCCAACATGACACCAGTTTGAACATTCCTTCATGGTACTGTTGCTTGTCAAGTTGCTTGAAGTAGTCCAGAATGATGTCTTTCCAATTCCAAGGCAAAGCATTTCCCTGCAAAAAATTTCTTTAAAGGTCTGAATAAATGAAAATCCAGGGGGGGCTAAATTTGGACTATATGGAGGATGTTGCAGGACCTCCCAGTTCCTCTGTGCCAATTATAGTTTGGTTTGATTTGACATTGGAGTATAGTCCAGATTTAGCCCCTTCAGATTTTCATTTATTCGGACCTTTAAAGAAATTTTTGGCAGGGAAATGCTTTGCAGATCAGGATGCATTGGAAGACACTGTTCTGGACTACTTCAAGCAACTTGACAAGCAACAGTACTGTGACGGGATGTTCAAACTAATATCACACTGGGATAAATGTCTTTATTTATAAATGTTAGTGTAATTTTGGCATGTACCTTTAATATCAGACTCCCCATGTATATATTGCATGTGTATGTAAATATAAACAGTAAGTTATTAAATATTTGAAAAGCGGGTGTAAAAGATGGTAAATATCATTTCTATTAGTACATTATAATGTCTGATAACAATTAAACAGCAATGTACACTCATTGCCATAAAAATTAACACACCAAGAAGAAGTTGTCAGAATTGAATGAACTTATAACAGTGATGTAAGTGATTATGAAATGAAAGCAAGAGGATCATTTATTGCAGGGAAAACTACAAATGAAAGAAGGTTCTAGTACCCTGTTGGGCCACCTCTAGTGTGAATACACAATGTGTTACAGGTGGGCATGAAGGCACACAGTTGCTGTAAGCAGTCCTCTAGTTTGACCAAACTCCTAGTCTGTCCAACTTGGTGTCCCAGGTGATCTCAGACATGTTCTATTGGTGACAGATCAGGAAGAAAATATATATAGTTATTTAAAAAGTATTAATTATAAAAACTTTTTAAATTTTATGAAGCCATTAGCAATACCTGGAAGAGTATTAATTGGTGATGGTGTTTTAACAAAAATGTGTAGGAAGAAACCAAAGCCAAGACAGTTTTTTTTGTTCAATGATATATTAGTTTATGGCAATATTATTATTACAAAGAAAAAAGTAAGTTTTCATTATCAGTTGCTTTTTAGAAAAGTATTAAGGAAAATGTTTTAAATTAATGTTTAGTGTAACTTAAAGTTTTATTTACATCAATAATAAAAATATTTTAAAAATTTGAATGTCCTATGTCCACCCTGAAGTTCCATTCTAAATATTGGTGAAATGGATTTTTGAAATCGGATGAGTAGTTTCAGAAATTACCCCCTACATACAAACTTACAAACATTGCCTCTTTATAATATTAGTATAGAGGTCTGAGAAATAAAATTATTTGAATGCGTACATACATAAATACAGGGTTTATATTTGCATATACTTGCAATGTATATATATATTGCAAGTATACAAGGTCTGTTCAAAAAGTATCGGACCTTATTTNACTAATTACATTTATTCTGAAAATATAATAAATTTTAAATAGATCAATTTAAGTTTAAAAATTTGATGTTTTATTTAAAATTTTCACATCTTTCTTGCATTTTCCAGCAATATTTTATTAAAAACAAACATTTTCAGCCTAGTTTATTGGCCTACATCAGGTTCTACACATTCAAACTGAACAGTTTACTGAGTTGTATGAACAAATGAAAAGAAGTCAAAAACATTCATGTAAATAATTAAAGACTTGCTGAAAAAGTATTTAAGATGTTGTTCAAGTTGAATAATTAGAATATTTTTCATAAAAAGTATAAAGTTTTTCAATTTATGTTATAAAGTGTAAAATATTTTGTTTTAAGCTAGGTTATTGTTTATGTAACAATAACCAATAACCAAGCCTGAAACATAACATTTTTAAAGTACAGTCGACCCCCCCTATAAGATAGAGATACGTTCCATTCTCTAGGAATCCAATTTCTTACGAATCCCTCCAATCACAACCCGACACGTGTCAAGTTTACGGACTACGGCTGTTTGAAAGATTTTCTTCCATAAAATTAATCGATTCTAGACTAATCCGACTCAACATTTCCAAAATACGTATATATTTTTTGGGAATAATCCGTATAAACTACGCTATAAACAAAAAATTGTAGGATTACTTACCGAGTGTCACCATTCGACATTGCCATTGCTCAACATTGTTTTCGTCGCGGAACAGCTCAGCAAAGAG